AGAAAGAAAGATGACGAGTGATTAGGGGATGAGAAGAGAGAGGAGATGAGAAGCGGGAGAGAGGGAGAGAGAGATGATTGATGGAGAGAAGAGGAGAGAGAGAGAGGGAGAGAGGAGAGAGAGAGAGAGAGAGAGAGAGAGGAGGAGAAGTGAGAGAGAGGGGGGGTTGAGAGAGAGAGAGTGAGAGAGAGGGGGAGAGAGAGAGAAGGGGGAGGAGGAGAGAGAGGAGAGAGAGAGAGAGGAGAGAGAGAGAGAGAGAGAGAGAGAGAGAGAGAGGAGAGAGAGAGAGAGAGAGAGAGAGAGAGAGAAGGAGAGAGAGAGAGAGAGAGAGAGATGAGAGAGAGAGAGAGAGAGAGAGAGAGAGAGAGAGAGGAGAGAGGGAGAGGAGAAAGAGGAGAGGGAGAGAGAGATGAGAGGGAGAGGGAGAGGGAGAGGAGAGGGAGAGGGAGAGGGAGAGGAGAGAGCGGAGGGAGAAGGAGAGGAGAGGAAGGAGGAAGAGAAGAGGAAGTGAAGAGGGAGGAGAGGGAGAGGAGGGAGAGGGAGAGGGAGAGGGAGAGGAAGAGAGGGAGAGCGGAGGAGAGGAGAGGAGAAGAGAGAGAGAGAGAGAGGAGAGAAGGAGAGAAGAGAGAGAGAGGAGAGAGAAAGAGAGAAAGAGAAAGAGAAAGAAGAGAAGAGAGAGAAGAGAGAGGAAGAGAGAGGAAGAGGAAGAGGAAGAGAGAGAGAGAGAGATTGAGAGAGATTGAGAGAATTGAGAGAGATTGAGAGAGATTTGAGAGAGAGAGAGAGAGAGAGAGAGAGAGAGAGAGAGAGAGAGGAGAAGAGAGAGAGAGAGGAGAGAGAAGAGAGAGAGAGAGAGAGAGAGAGAGGAGAGAGAGAAGAGAAGAGAGAGAGAGAGAGAGAGAGAGAGAGAGAGAGAGAGAGAGAGAGGCCTGTCTCCATCTCGTAATAATGGCCATGGTATTAGGGGGGAATGGGGTGCGAATGAGACATTGTGTGTGTGCATAGATAAGCATAAATATGGATATGCATAATACACTGCCCCTCCTCATATTATTTTTGTTTGTTGGTTGTCTTTAAGCTCACATTTTTTCTTGGCACTGATTTGTAATTTCCTCTTTGTAGTTCTTATGCTTTTCTTCCATTATTTTTTTCTTGCACACATATTTCTTTTATATTCAAACCACATGTATAGGAGCTTGTTTACAAAGTATATACAAATGACACGACAAAGGAAAATGAAATCCTATAAAGGACACTGAAACACTTTTTACATTGCTTTATTTTATTTTCAGTCCAATAGGCTAGAGAATCTCTTTATAGGGACAATGATGAGTATGTGTTCCCTATTTTCTTTCATTTTGATTTTTAAAATGTTTTGGACATGCTCCTGTCTTGAGCTAAATAAAAAACATAAATAACATTATGAAAAAAAATTAAAAATTAATTCTGAATACTACAACTGGTAGTGGGAATCAAGAAAAGAAACAATAAAGACAGAAAGAGGAGGGAGAGGATCTGAATGAGAGGGAAAGCAAAAATTTTAAAAATAATAGTAAAAAATACCAGTAGGAAAGAATCACATTTAAACATCTTAGCGATGACGGTTCCAAAAGGATTCTACAGTGAAGTCGCACACCATAACCAAGGGAATTATTATTAAACATTGGTGTATAGAGTAAAAAGGCATAAACAAGAAATAATAGTAATAAGCAACAATTATGGGATACACAGATGTGTACAATGTTAATGCTGGATTAGGTAAAACTCTAACACATTTACTGCATTGAAGATTCTTTCAAGAAAATGAAATGTGATATCAACACACCACACAATCACAGCTTCATCAAACAGTTAAATTTGTTTCTAATTTGATTGTCAGTCTGTAACATATCAAATCAATTATAGAATATAGCATTTTTTATTCCATCATCAGAAAGCACAAACCTATATCAGAACTATAACAAGGAGACCTGGCTGAATTAATGCTCTGATTTTAGGAAAATTCAAATCCTTTTAAATAATACATTTGGTTTAATATGTACAAAAGTTTCTATGAATCCTAATAACTTGTAAAGGCAATGATTTTAAACTGAAAAGGAAGAAAAAAGTCCTTAAATTCATATTTCAAACATTACTCCACATCTCATAAAGAAAAGTTTGATCCAAAATTATCAGTCTTAACAAGCAAGCTCAAAGTATTTTATAAACTCTACTTTAATAAACAGTTCTGAAGCTTCCTTTCAAATTATTTAAGAACGAGAATGCTTGCAAAACCAGCAGATCTCACTTTCCTGCCACTCGCTTGTTATCTAGACCATGTTCAGTTCCCCATGGTCATTGCAAGGCCACACAAGTCATACATTTTATTTGATTATCTATTCATTTATTCATTCATTTATTTATTATTTCTTTGATAAATTCAGAGACAAGATTCAAGCCATATTTCATGGGGGGTTCCTGAACATGGATATTCGCATCCTAAACTTTGTTTACATGGGTAAAAATAAACACCTAACCTCACTGATTATTTTCAATCCACTTTTGTTCGTTGATGAATATTAGCACCATTAATGTTACATTCCAAAAAATAAAAAATCTGTATATATTTCTTTTCGATCCCAAACAATAATGACTCATGTCAAACATTTGAAGGCTTTAGTTTATGCTTTTGATTTACACAAACCACGTATTGTTTACAAAAGTTCAAAATATTTCATAGTTCCAGTTATATATATATTTTTTACAACTAACTTAACAATTTTCCTACACCATAGACAAACAAACACTGAAACAAATCACAACCTCTCATTTCTCTGTCATTTTCAGTTTGATTAATTTTGTTTCTGTCTTTCACCAAAGAGGGAGTTGTCTTCTCAAAACAAATATCAAATACAAATTCGCAAAACAAATGGCATTACCAGTGCTATTTGTACTAACAACATTCATTAGCTTTCACACAGGATTTAGAGTAATAAAGGGGGAAGGGGGAAAAAAATAAATAAATAAATAAAAAAATACAAAAAATACATTTAAAACCACAATGATGAATGAAGTAGAAAAAATATATTTCAACTTCTAAATATTGTGCTAGTTCTTAAGCTACTAAGCAAGTAAGTCCATCCACTGCATAATTACATAACTGGTAACTTCTACTTACTGATTTAAGAAATGGCTCCATAGTCTTTAAAGCGCTATTATCATTATCATGCCAATATTAGTCCTCTGCATGTTAATGAAAAGACAATGTTAGAAAAAAAGCTTTCATATTTAACATAATGCGACTCTTTTTACATCTTGAGTCTTACTACATTTACATCCAAAAATGTATATAATTACACTACATAAATCTGACTGAACTTTAACCCCAAAAGTGAATCTGTTGAAATTCCTAGTACAAAAATTAATTTAAAATAATACTTTCCATAAGCTGGAAATAGTATTTGATAGCCTAAAGAACTTCTAACTTACAAAAAAGGAAGTTGCGACAAATTATTAGAGATTTGTAGAATGACAATGTTCACTCAAAAGAAAGCTGCCTATACATATAAGCTTTAAAAAAAAAAAAAAGAGGGCCCATACACTCCTCAAATAACAAGGTTTTCCTTTACATTAGCACTGAAAAAGTCAGCCTGAAAATAAAGACTAATGAAATAGTAGATTACCGAGATCTGTTGCCAATGAAGAGGATGTAGTTCTCTTGAAAATCAACAAAATCTCTCCCTAAACAGCTTCAGTAAAATCTTACAGCATAAAAAATAATTCCATTTTAAAGACAGAATAAAATCTACAAGCTTGCATGCACACGCACAGATCCAAAAAATACTTTTAATAAACTAATTATAATGACCATGTGAGACCCAATGGCCTTAGTAAAATTAAAACCCATTACCAAAAAATGGCAAAACGTCACTCTGACCTTAATACAACTTTGAACAAACACTGAGGAATAGTTGTTGAACTGCCAAAAAGTATGATGTAGAAAAACACATACTAATACACCAATGAAAACAAATATACAAACTGGATAAGTATAAAACACTAAAAAGTTCCAATACAAAACCAATCACATAAAAAAAAATATTACAATATTGTCATGTTTATTTGTGCAAAAGCTAAACTAACCACTGCCATTCCATTGTTAATATCATATTTCATACAGGCATTGCAGCAATATCAAGTCTGATTAAAAAAAAAAGAACATTAATCTCACAAGTGACTTTATAATTAGGGCATGATTATTGACAAGACACTTGTGAGAGCAAATGAAGAGACCTAACCAATGACTCTACTACACAGACACTAAGACTACAGCAACATATATTTTGGCATCTGTGAGTGTGTTCTAAATAAGGCTTTTAATTTGGTTGTCATATGTGCCTTGTATTTCAAAATGGCTGAAAAACTTTGTTCTTTTAGTTTCTCCTTTGCTTTTGGCAGCAAAGGAGGTGGTTTAATGTTGCCATTTACTGAGACTTGAGGTGCTCTTTGGTATTCTTGGAGCTTCGTGATTTGGGAGGTAAGACAACAGGCAACAGAATAATTGCAAGGGCTCCCAGAACAAACTGGAAGAATAGCATGTCCCTGAAAAGAAAAGTGGGGAAATATGTAAGAGTAAGGTGGGAAAATCACATTTACTCACTCTCCGTCTCTTTCTGTCTGAATACATTAGATTGGTTTAATAGTCAAATCTCTCTACCCATCTAACTTGCAATTCATGTCTATCTATCTACATATTAGAATAAATCAGACTAGTTTATCACGACACTACACTCCATTAAGATCAGTCAAAATCTATCTGATCTACCCTTCCATCTTTCTATATTTTACAATACAACAAGTTAATTTATCAAGATATATAATTAAGAGCATTCAAATCTGTCTTTCATATTAGACTGTTTCTCCATCTGTTTGTCTGTCTCCACATGTTGAAATACCTTACTTTATTATGAGGCTGCATATAACTAAGAGTAGTTACACCCATATATCTCACATCCTCTTACCTGTAGACTGCAATGCTGCCCCAAAATCTTAGTAGGATGAACGGGAAAGTGAAGTAAGCTAAGCAGAATCTAGTCACTACACATGTAAAAACATCATAGAGCTTCTGTGCCATGGGTCCTTTTGACACAATGTGGGGTCGCACCGAACGCCTCACCTGGAATAGGAGAAAATAGGAAAAATGATTGGAGATACCAATGCATAAAAATGTTTAAATCCCTTGACTGTGGGCATCTGTACTGTCAACCACGACGACCATCAATTTAAGGACTTGGACTTTCAAGGACTTTAAGTATCTTTTTCTACTAATTTTCCATCACATTTCTGCCTGGGCAATCTGTTAGAAAGTTGTATGAAGACAGGGCCTCTGATCAACTTTTAAATGTTTCCTGTCATGAAGGGTAAGATTTCCATGACATGTATAATAGTACCCACCAGTAAGATATACAAAATGCAGATGGGGTAGACAAAGTGAGGATTTCTTTAAAAGGTAAAAGGGTATGTCATGAAAAAAAAATTGGGGGATCACTCCAGTCAAGGAATGGAATCTCTTAAGTCATCAAATAAACATTTGAAAATAGAATAAAATAATGTTTGCCTTATAAAAAAGCGAAGAAAAAATCATATACAATTAAACAAAAAGTACTATAAAAACAACCTTGACCAATGCACACCCAGGTTTATAGCTAATCAGTTCATTGCGGGCAGAGGCTTCTAATTTGCTGACAAAGTGACCATGTCAAATATTCAGCTATTCCCAAATGTTTCCCTGTGAAATCTTGATGCAATAAAGTTTTTTGTTACAGTACCCAAGGTTTAGTTAGTATGTTTGACTGCTTTCATCTACCTAAATCTATAAATAAAGGCAAGTAAAAACTTGCTAAATAAGGCAAGAAAGAGGAATGGAGGGCAATTTCCCTCTTATATACATCAAATGAAGTTACTTATGAAACAAAATCCATCACAACTCAACCTTCATTGGTCACTTCTTAGAAATACAGAACAAAACTCACATTTCTTGCTGCAATTGTAAAGAAGGCACCGCTGACAAATGTGATGTAATACCCTGGATAGAAGCCATGCCAGATGGAGGACAGCATGTACGTGAATAGTGTCTTCTGAGTAGGTGCCCTCTCATACACCATGAAGCGCAGCCACTTCATGGTTCCGCTGTTCCAGGCTTCCAAAGTGTCCCGCAGACTCAGGCCAAACTGGAGATTGGGAATATGGGAATGATTTTTATTTTTATCTATGTCCTCGTTTTAAAGACCCACAACACTTCTGTAACTGTGTGATGGCAATTACATACCTGAATGTTTGTGATTCATATTATGTGCTAATGCTGTATCAATGTTCTGTTATCATCAACCCACTAATGCTGAGAATATGGACTGCCTATGGCTTTGTCTCATTATTGTTTTTTTTACACATAGCTTAACAAGGACTCTGTTACCATGAAATCAAGGCCTGCCTTGATTTCCCCATTTTCGGGGAAAAATAGCTTATTTTCATTACTAATATCTCAGTTATCTCAACCCCTTGGATCTAGGGGACATGACTATCATGTCATGAAAAATTTGGGTGAGGGCTGGGTGATAGGAATATCCCATCATGACTGCAAAAAGATTTTGAAGGAAGATTAGGCTTGCTGGAGGCTTAGGAAGGCGTTTTTCCATTATTCAAACCAATAAACGAGGCTGGGGTAATTGGGGGTGGGTTTGAGGTGGGGTAGCTGGAAGAAACTTGCTAAATAGTAGCAGAATTATTCATCCTCCCTACCAGCCATTTCCAGTAAAAAAAAGATGTGGGAAAATGGGCTGCCTGTTTTAGAGAAGAGTTGCTTCATTATGGTTGCTCAAAATTCTGGCTCTTCATTATGGATGATTGGATTTTATGGATTATCCTAGTATCTGAATATGGTGACTAAGCACTTGCGAGACGACTGTGTAACAAAAATTAATAAAATGTAGACCAATCCTGTAACTTAAAATACCAACTGTGTCAAAGGATTAGGGTAGGCTTGGTATGGAAGTAACAGTGCAAGTAAATATCAACCAAGTGCTACCAGAGATGGCATGTATGTACATGTCATGCCCATTGTGAGTTTAGTCTATCAACTAATTTTCTACAAGTACTAAGTCACAAATGAGCCAATTATGAGTACTACCTATCGAACCTATTTACCCTTTTCTTTGATTTTTGGAAATATTTTCTGTTATCTAATATTACTGTTAGCAATGTCAGTAATACTATAATGATCATAATATTTATAATAATAATAACAGCATCAATATTGATAGTATTAGTATTTAAAAAAAATTAAAAGTTCATAAACTCAAAGAAAGGTGAAATCAGACGAGGTCACAAAGTTTACTAAGGTCTACTAATTGACTCCATTAGAGCCAAGTACTTGTGGAGCCATCAATGTGCAGACACATTTCACAAAACAATGCCACAGTAAATACTATATTTCCCTGGCATTGGGCTAACATCCTCTGGGCCTCTTTACCATAAAAAAAGAAAGAAAGAAAGAAAGAAAGAAGGAAAGAAAAAGAAAGAGAAAGCAAAAATCTCACCTCAACCCCAAGAATATCCACATTGGAGACGAGGTTCCATTTTGCTGTTCCATCTGCATTGTAACCGTTGAATCCCATGCCAGACATATTGCAGATACTGTCTCCCAACATCCAGCCCGTGTAATAGACATGACGTGTGAGAGAGGTCACAGCCACAATGTAAAATGTCTTTGAGAGGAAGCTCAACTGGAAGAACTTGGGATCTGAAAAAGAGATTATAAGAATTGAATACAGAGGTAATGTAATCGGCACAAATGAATAATTTTTTTGTATCTAATGTTTACCAGTTTCTATGATCCAGTATCTGGATATGACATTTAGGAATTTGAGGTAAACTGTAATTAAATGAATTGCAATAATTTGAAGGAGGCTAAAAATGACAAAGAGAAATGACTCTTAACAACCAAATTTCACACATTTCTCCTAGACTCAAATTGACAACAACTGGCATAATTCAGGCTCTCTTTTGAAGAGCACATGTAAATGATGCAAGCAAAGGGAAAGCCAATTTTTAAATAAAATACCATACTAGAAAAAAAATACATCAGCATATTATACAAGCTACAAACACCAACCTGTAATAAAGGAAATGGGAAATTTCGGCAGCAAATATACAGTAACAAAGGCATTGCCTGCTGACACCAGAGCCTTGTACATGGCAACTGGCACGGGATTAGGCTCATCTTCAAGCCTGGTGCGGAGCTTAGAGTCAGTGAGCTTGCTTTCTGAGGGACTCTTGTTCCTGTTGCTGTCCAGAGAGCTCTGTCAAGGGGAATGAGAATAAATACTTATTAATTTCTAATAAAGAAATCATAATTTTTTTTTTTTTCCAATGAAAATCACTAGAGATAACTGACAGTGTAAAATTAATTACAATATTCAGTTGACACTATGACATAAAATGAGTAGAAAAAATCTAAAATCCCATTATGTATAAATATTTAATCATCATCTCTATTTTGTCACAAAAAAATAAAAGGGAAAAAAAGAAATGAAGTAATTTGGTCACAAAAAAATAAAAGGGAAAAAGGATTTTAAATTATATCTAAAATCGAATAACCCTACCGCAGGCACAGGAGTCTGTAGAGCTCTCTTGGCATAGTGGGTCCCCTCAACAAAGTCCTGGTAGTCAGCAAACATGAAGTAAGGCCCAGCAAGGACGGAATGGAAGTTGAGCATATATCCAAAATACTCCAAAGCTGTTGGCTTCTTCCTGTGGACAACCATGTTGCTAAACAACAAACTGAATCGAAACCTGTTGTTGATAATCTCATTCCATAACTGAGGACTCCCTGTTCAGATTGCCCTTGTTGTCTTGCAAAGGCCATCTTTGTCTGATGGCCACAAAACTGTGACAGAGATTGTGGATGACAAATGTTCAATCTCTGCATAGCAATCAAAAACACACAGATCGATGGGTTTTCAATATAACGAAAGTTTCCTTGTTTACAGTCTGTGGGAGAAGTTAAAAGGTTTGGCTGGAGAAAATATGTCAATACAGCACTAGAACTATATCCTCACAATTACTACATTTCATTCAAAGAAAGACTGAGGCTCAAGCAGAGGAGGGAATAAAAAGAGGGGAGGGATGGGGGATATTGTGGGTGTGGCTGATGGAAACTTGCCAAACAGCATGAGATGTATTATGGGACACTTCATATGTTTCATCCATAATGAATAGTCATAAGCAATGTCCTGCTAGTTTTTTCGTGACTGATAGGACTACGGCCTCATTTTGAACTTTTAACATATTCATAAAAGAGGATTAAGGGATTAATCTCTCTCTCTCTCTCTCTCTCTCTCTCTCTCTCTCTCTCTCTCACTCTCTCTCTCTCTCTCACTATCACTTCTACTCACTCTCACTATCTCACTCACTCTCACTATCTCACTCACTCTCACTATCTCACTCACTCTCACTCACTCTCACTATCTCACTCACTCTCACTCACTCACTCTCACTATCTCACTCACTCTCTCTCACTATCTCACTCACTCTCGACTCTCTCACTCACTCTCACTCTCAACATCTCATCTCACTCTCTCACTCACTCATCTCACTCTCTCACTCAACACTCACTCTCACTCAACATCTCACTCTCACTCTCATCTCACTCTCTCACTCAACATCTCACTCTCTCACTCTCACTCTCTCACTCATCTCACTCTCACTCTCTCACCTATCTCACTCACTCTCACTCACTCTCTCACTCTCAATCTCACTCTCTCTCAATACTCTCACTACTCTCTCATCTCTCTCACTCTCTCACTCAATATCTCACTCTCTCACTCAATATCTCACTCTCTCACTCAATATCTCACTCTCACTCTCTCACTCTTACTATCTCACTCTCCTCACTCTCACTCACTCTCACTCTCCATTCTCACTCTCTCTCTCATTCTCACTCACTCTCTCATTCTCTCACTCTCACTCTCTCATTCTCATCTCTCACTTCTCACTCTCTCTCATCTCACTCTCTCATTCTCACTCTCACTCACTCACTTCTCTCTCTCTCTCACTATCACACTCTCTCTCACTATCACTCACTCTCTCTCTCACTATCACTCACTCTCTCTCTCTCTCTCACTCACTCTCTACTCACTACTCACTCTCTCTCTCTCTCACTATCACTCACTCTCCTCTCCTCTCACTCACTCTCTCTCTCTCTCTCACTATCACTCTCTCACTATCACTCACTCTCTTCTCTCTCTCATCTCTCACTCTTCTCTCTCTCATCTCTCTCACTCACTCTCTTCTCACTCTCACTCACTCTCTCACTCTCTCTCACTCTCACTCACTCTCTCTCTCTCACTCTCACTCACTCTCTCTCTCTCTCACTCTCTCACTCTCTCTCACTCACTCTCTCTCTCACTCTCACTCACTCTCTCTCTCACTCTCCTCTCACTCTCTCACTCTCTCTCTCACTCTCACTCACTCTCTCTCACTCTCACTCTCACTCTCTCACTCTCATCACACAAGTAATGAATTCATCATAAATGTTCCCACTGGCTTTCACCGCAAGTGAGTAAATATAAAACCATCTGTATCAGACTTGATTATAGCACCTAGATTCCCTTTTCACATAAAAGCAACTGGAAGCTCTTTGGCAGAGCCTGGGATCACCCCTGTCCTCAATTAAAAACGGACACTAACCCTCAACCCGCTACCATAAGCATTTCTGAAATTACAAACACTAGTCCCCACTTCATTCACCAATGTTCTATTCAAAAACAAACATTGACCCTTATCTCAATAACAATACTGTTTTTGTAATATTCCTGCAATTAATAATAAAAACCAATACCAACCTGACCACCATCTCCTTCTGCAGGGGGGTGAGCTCTTCATCTTTCAGCCCTGACAATCCGTCATGCAAGCTGTATGCCAGCGATGTTGCCTTCTGCACCATGATCATCATGGGACCTGAGTGAAGTAAATGAAATGCAGGCATGAGGTTATCTATCTGTCTCATATTTATGTTCAGCTATTTTCAATGTGGCAGGAATCCCCTCTAGTAACTCACTATAGGGGATTCCAAGTTCAATCATAAAATGAAGCATGTATTTCTCACAGAGCCAACTATGCAATATGGAATAGTATTCTAAACTACTAAAGACTGGCAAAGGGAGAGCACTATTTCCATGGTCAGAGCTTATTGCTAGCTGCCTTGATTGGTAGCGCAGGTTGTATTACATAAAAATTATGATAAAAGAAGAAGAAGAAGAAGAAGAAGAAGAAGAAGAAGAAGAAGAAGTAGAAGAAGACGACACAAAAAAAATATTACTTATTATTATTATCATTATTGTTAATATTATTATCGCCATCATCATTATTCTTACTCTGAGTTATTGGACTACCTGGAGCAATGATATGGAGTCTATGCAAGAAAAACAGCCTATTACCATCTGGATAAATAAAATCAAATGACTAATATGGACACTGGAAAATGACCAGCAGAAAGAGAAAATAAAATAACATTGCAAAGGGGAGGTATAAAATCTTGTTACCGCAAACGAGTGTTCCCCTGTGCCTGGCCTATAAACTACACACCCATCAGAGTGGCTGCAAATTCCGCTTAGCAACCAGATTCAAGGAGTTACAGGACATTTGAAAGAGGAAGGTATACAAAAGGAAAATCTAATTTGATTGGGAAGGAAAATGAGACAGGAGAGGCAGAAAGTCTAGAAGAGGAATACAAAACTTAAAGTGCAGCAAAAGTTAAACCTGGTAAAATTGGCAATACTCTGAAGGTAGATGTTGGCTCTCAAGATGGGGAGCCAGAAACAATTATGATGTGTTGAAATAATGGTTGCAGTGAAGGAAGACACAATACTGACTGGATAAGTTGAACATGTAAAATTGACACCAAGTATAATCTGAGGTACCATTATGTGTTTGAATTTATCCAGACAGGGCTTGGGTAAAAGTTCATGTGGATTTTGCTGGACCATTTTTTTTTTTCACACTGGTGGATGCTTATTCTAATGGGATTGATGCTCAAGTTATGAATAGTACCTCTGTATCTGCCAATACTGTACACCCCGAGAGAAACATTTTGAGATAAAGGATTACCTAGTACATTTAGAGATAATGGACCTAGTCAGGATTTACTTTTTAATGAAAATTAACAATATTTTACATACAACTTGTGCACCATTCCATACAAGTTCAAATGAGTTTGCAGAAAGAGCAGTTCCAACTGTAAAAATTGTGTTGAAAAAGATGGAAATGGTGATGTAAAGGTCAAGCTGTTGAGAATTCTTTTCAGATATAACCCCTCCCCTCAATCAGTAACAGGTTACTGAACAATAGGTACATGTACTTAAGACCTAGTTTGGCATGGAATGTTCAACTGAAAAAGTATGAACAAATCATGATGGTAAAACAAAACTTAATTTCTGTTTGTCTGATGAGGTGCTTTTAGAGAATTACAGTGGAAGGGGGATGAGATAGTTTTCAGGAATGGCAGTTGAAGTTACCAGGCCCCTCTCATATAAAGTAGAATTATTAGCCGGATGAGTAATGAAGAGGCATGTAAACCAAATGAGATCCAGAATAGGTTGAGGTTCAGGATAGTATTGATTAGCATCAAATTTCAGGGGATAAGATACAAAAAGAATTAGAACCTAATTATAATCTTGGTGCTTCTCTTGATGATACTGGAGGGGCAGAGCCTCTACAATCAGTAAAGAACATCGAAATGAAGAGTGAAGCTTCGCTGACTAAGCTCAAACTCAAAAAGCTTGACCAGTGCATTCAGTCAAGCAGAGATGTCAACCACAGGATCTGGTACACAGAGTGGCACCTCTACTAGGACTGGTTGGGTAGTAAAGTATCCATAAAGACTGTATCTATAATATAAAAGACTGTATTTTGCCAAATTTCATGTAATACAAGAGCAGGTGAAATGTAAGCTATTATTTGTATGGAAGAAAATGCCATACTTTTACGTTCAGAAAACATATACTTTAAGTTCGTAGCACCTCACTATAGGCTTAGACCCTTGAGTGAGTGAAATGTAAATAACAAGGGAAAAAATGCCACATCAAGTGAAGAATATTTCTATTAGAGCAAACCAAGGTATACAGAACAGTATTCCAAGCAACTATAGAACATATTCCTATGCCACAAAAAGGTTTCTAAAGTTCAGCTGTTATATAAAATCATGGAAATAATTAAGCAAGTTTTACAAAAGTTTTCCCTGGAACTTCACTTTAGGAGTGGTGCTTAGTTTACATAAAACACAAGAATAAAAATTGCAAAGAAAGGAACAGCAAAGAAATATGTAAGAATTATAACGTTCATAATAATGACAGAAACAAAAAGAGTGGTTTAATAATAATGGAGAGAGTAAAGTAAGATGTTACCAGACTTCTTTATACATTAATTATATAGAAAACAGGGAAAACACACCATAAGAATTTAGGAATAGAGGAGAGGATCCTGGGAGTAAAGAGACGAAAAGAGGAAGAGAAGAGGAGGAAGGAGGGAGGAGGGAGGTACGGAAAGAGAGAAATGGAGATAAGGGAGATAAAAAGTAAAACAAATGTGGAGGGTAGAAGGATAGAGTAAAAATAACAGTCATATAATGAAAGAAAGAAAAAGAGTGACAAGGAAAGAGACTGAGATCAAGAAAACACACGAAAGTGTGATAGGAAAGTTGTCTTAAAGACACTAGTTATAACTAGTTATAACCAGATTATAGTTAAACTGTGATTTGATAGTCAAGGAAGTCTTAAATGACCTTGTCACCATATGATGCTATCAAGAACATATCTTCCATTAATCTTTGCTGATAAAGGTTTTAAACCATCAGAGTAAACAGTAACTTGATAATCGGTAATTAAGCCTACTTCCCTCTTACTGATAAGCTTCACAACTTTGTTTCCAGGGTGTTACCAAGAAAAAAGAAAAGAAAAATATTTATATGTAAATACTGTCTATAATAAGATAATTTGATGCTAGATTTTTTTTTTTTACAATAATAGCAATGTTTAATCTGAACATAATCATTATAAATGATCATCACCCAAACCCAAGTGGTTCAGAAACTCAAAAAATCTTTTCTCTACTCACCTGTCACATCAATAACAAAGACCCCATCTTCATACAGCTGTCGTTGTATGTGCATCACAGAGAGGAAGGTAATGGATGCAGCAAGAGTCACATGATGAAGCAGCGTTATTGGGAGCAGAAGCATCAACAGATAACACCCAACCACTAGAGCCAAGGCCAGCAACACCTGTCTAAAGAATACAAATCATTAAATTGTCTTACTTATCTATACCTTCCAAATATTTGCCTTTAGCAATATTCCTTAATGTATGTACTAAGAAGTCAAGAGAATGTCTTAGTAGATATCTTCTCTAACATAACCCAAAATAAGAAAACATGCATACATGAAAGCTTTTATATGTGCATGCTCATACATGTAGCTACATACTTGGATATGCATGAACACCCACACCCACGGCCACTCCCACAGCCACACCCATATCCACTTCAAAAAAGAACTGATAACAACGATTCAAGAAAAAGACAACGAGCATATACCATATTTGCAAGTTATCACTTTTCTAAGGTGTTCTTATCACACCTCTTATCTCAGTTCATCTCGTAATACCAACAGCAGCGGTTTATCAATCATCCTCCACTGACAAGATATGCTGTTACAGACTCCTTTATCATGGAGGTAAATCCTGTGCTAAGTCACTGAATGCTAAGGGTGGTATATAAAGTAGGTGAGAGAGGGAGATATAAACACTGGGTACAAGCTAGTGAGAAAAGTGACAGGAGACAGAGGAGGGGAAGAAAAAAAGAAGAAAAATATAAGCCTATACATAAATCCATATAAAAGGAACAATCACTCATCTGTCTTTACAAACTATTATGACCAATAAAGTGCTAATACTGATGATAAAAACATTATGATTCTACAGGTAAACTGATATGGAGATATAGCAATAAAAAATAAAAAATGTATCAATATCAATATCAATTTAATATTTGTCCTTCACAAAGGCTAACTGTGTGGCCATCAGCAAGGAAGAATGTGAACTTTTTTTGTGAACGTGTGTGTGTGCATGGGTGAATGAGTGTGTACATGTAAATGTGTGTGAATATGTAAATTTGCGTATATGCATGAATGTGTGAATATGTGTGAAAGTGTGTGATTGTATGTGTATGTGTGTGTGCATTTGCATGTCCAATGTATATGTATATGTATATGTATATGTATATATATATGTGTGTGTGTGTGTGTGTGTGTGTGTGTGTGTGTGTGTGTGTGTGTGTGTGTGTGTGTGTGTGTGTGTGTGTGTGTGTGTGTGTGTGTGTGTGTGTGTGTGTGTGTGTGTGTGTGTGTGTGTGTGTGTGTGTGTGTGTGTGTGTGTGTGTGTGTGTGTGTGTGTGTGTGTGTGTGTGTGTGTGTCACATAAGTCAAAGTATGAGACAAAAATTTATATATCAATACTCAACACTTACTTCCCAAAACAGAAGTAGGAGATGCCCAGCCCAGCGAGGAGAGAGCCCCAGTGACGAGTTGTGGCCGATACATGAGACGGATGGAGATACACTCTGAATATGTAGGCCAGCAATAGGGCCATCAGTTGGCCAAACACAAAGTTGACCTGTAATGAAAACCACAAGCCTTAACTCTCAGTCTCATTACTCACTTATACATGCCATGAACAAAAAATACTAACATGGGAAGAATGCATTCATGGGATGTTATGTACTGTGAAAATAAAAAATGCAGAATAAATAACCAAAGAATATAAAAAAAACTTGTTATAAATCACATATGGTAAACTAATGAATAAACATTTATTTACAGAACTCTGGATAATCAAGCAGTTCAAGCAGTTCAAGCAGTTCAAGCAGAGAGAGAGAGAGAGAGAGAGAGAGAGAGAGAGAGAGAGAGAGAGAGAGAGAGAGAGAGAGAGAGAGAGAGAGAGAGAGAGAGAGAGAGAGAGAGAGAGAGAGAGAGAGAGAGAGAGAGAGAGAGAGAGAGAGAGAGAGAGAGAGAGAGAGAGAGAGAGAGAGAGAGAGAGAGAGAGAGAGAGAGAGAGAGAGAGAGAGAGAGAGAGAGAGAGAGAGAGAGAGAGAGAGAGAGAGAGAGAGAGAGAGAGAGAGAGAGAGAGAGAGAGAGAGAGAGAGAGAGAGAGAGAGAGAGAGAGAGAGAGAGAGAGAGAGAGAGAGAGAGAGAGAGAAGAGAGAGAGAGAGAGAGAGAGAGAGAGAGAGAGAGAGAGAGAGAGAGAGAGAGAGAGAGAGAGAGAGAGAGAGAGAGAGAGAGAGAGAGAGAGAGAGAGAGAGAGAGAGAGAGAGAGAGAGAGAGAGAGAGAGAGAGAGAGAGAGAGAGAGAGAGAGAGAGAGAGAGAGAGAGAGAGAGAGAGAGAGAGAGAGAGAGAGAGAGAGAAGAGAGAGAGAGAGAGAGAGAGAGAGAGAGAGAGAGAGAGAGAGAGAGAGAGAGAGAGAGAGAGAGAGAGAGAGAGAGAGAGAGAGAGAGAGAGAGAGAGAGAGAGAGAGAAGAGAGAGAGAGAGAGAGAGAGAGAGAGAGAGAGAGAGAGAGA